TCACAAAAACAGATGACCTGAAAATTAGAGCACAATGAGGAAGAGGCCATACATTCAGACAATGGGAGCATCCCGTTGAGAGATGAGGAGGACCCAGCACTGCGGTGAGATGGGTGCCTTCAAAGAGCAGGGAGCAGACAAAGAAAAGACTGGACAAGCAGCAGAAGCCAGATCATTGAGGGCCTTGCAGGTTTGGCTAATGAGTTGAAACTTCATCTAGTAAATGACAAGGAGTCATGAGCAATGTTCACACTAGAAAGAAGGTAAATGTAGGGGAGAGATATTAGGACTGGGACTTCAGTGAGGAGGCTATTACAAGAGGCAGAAGAGAGATCACGAGTTCTTAACTAAGGTGTGGGTCTAGTGGGGGAAAGAAAAAGATAGTGAAGAAAGATATGGGACAGTAGGTTTGACAGTGTTTGATGACGGTTTAGGTGTGAAGACAGGGGGAAGGAAATGGAGACAGTAGTTAGTATTTAGAGTTTGTATTTCCAAAATAGTAATCTTCCTATAGTAATCCAAATAATATAGCCAACCAACACAATCATTATTGATTTGTGTTTTAAATTAATATTATCAAGGAATATGTGTGGTGCTATACATCAACATAAGGAAAAATGGTACTTTTAAGCTACCAGATAAAAATAGGTCCATTAGTACTCATATGCATACTCATGATGGCGGTACTGGGAAAATCATCTTGGACATAGCTGTTTAAAACTAATGTAGAAACTAATTTGACAATAAACTATTAAAAAAATAAAAAAATAAAAAAAAACTAACCTTGAGGTATTTCTACTTGATTTCATTTTCCTGAATTGAGATTGCTGCAAACTCAATATATCAATAATAACTACAACCATTGTCAGCTCTGAGGGGTTCAAGAAAATGAATCCCTGTCCTTTGAGAACTGTGCTTACTTAGAGAAGGCAGATGTCTGGGCAGAAGACTGGAAACTATGTCATCTGACTAGCAATAAAGAACAGATCCACTTAGGGCACGTCCACACTCCTAGGAGCATGGAAACGTAAATACTCAGCAGAGAATGCACAATAGAGAAAGTTTTTTTCTTTTCATTTTTTAAATGTTTTTATTTCTTTCTGAGAGAGAAAGAGAGAGAGTATGAGCAGGGGAGGGTCAGAGAGGGAGGGAGACACAGAATCTGAAGCAGGCTCCAGGCTCTGAGCTAGCTGTCAGCTCAGAGCCCAGACACGGGGCTTGAACTCACTGACTGCAAGATCATGACCTGTACTGAAGTGGGATGCTTAACTCACTGAGCCACCCAGGCACCCAGAGAAAGGTTTTTATAGTAAGGGCTCACGTCTGGGGAGAAGTCTATCTAGCACATTGACTGGATGGCAGTGTGTGGGCATTGGAGGAAGTGTGAGAAAGGTGACATGAGTTTAAAAAACCAAAAACCTCTAATGTGTGAAGGGTTGGGCTTCCTTTTTCATATCCACCTTAAAGAGATTGGGCTTCGATGTACTGGGTGACTTGGTTTCTTGTCTGGGTTTGTAACAAATGAAGATAAACATTTTACTGAGCTGATGACATTAATATCTTTATTATGATGACCCCAAACTTTAGAAGAAAACACAACTACAGGAGAAATAGTCTTGTATTCAATAATCATTTAGCAGATAAACACTTGACCCAGGGGTCAATTAAGATGCTAACTCAATCAGAAAAATTCTTATGAATCCAATTCATTGTTTCCTTTTATAGTTCAACATGAAGAAAGAATTTGAAAGTCTAAGCACTATGATCTTACATACTGACAAATGACTATGATACTGATAATAATAGGTCTTGCTCTAAGCACTAGGGACTTTGCTGATAATCTCATTTCTTTATGGTACCATAGGGAGAAAAAAGAACAAGAGATATATAAACACTGAAATCTCATGAATTGACTGAAAGGAGCATTGCCAACACCACAATGCCAGGCTATAATTCTTTTCTTTTCTAACTAGGCTCCTCTTAATTTTCCCAACTCCACTCATGGTGGAAATAGCCTATTTATTTCCTTTTCTAAACATTTAATGAATGGAAAAATGCTTAAAATACGATATTAAATGAAAAAAATACTCATGCAAGTCATAAATATACATTTTTTATGCAGATCTTATACTGGTTTTATTTTTATAATAATCATACACTATTTATAATTAAGAATTAATGTATATAATTAAAATATTTTACATATCATATTTTATGTTACTATATAATCGTATATAATGAGAAGATTCTAAAAGTTATTATCATTTTCCAAAAGGGAATTTTTAAAAAGTAATCAATCTGTATCCATTTTGGAAGACATCTTTATTTTACAGCAAACTTCATGTCTACTTCCAAAATAGTTTCTTTTCCATGCTCTATTTATAAATATAATAAAATAAATAGCTGGTACACATTTTTAGGTAAGAAATATTGTTCCAAAAGGACTCACATAAGTACATTTATCTTCAGCTCACTCATTTAAAAAAGATTTTCATTTTTAAATCTCCAGTTTTTGGGTGAAATCTTTGTATTTGCAGCAACTTAAAAATATATAAATGAAAAGGCAATTATCTCTTATATGTGAACATTTTTGATTCTGTCTTATTTAGTATGCCACCTGGAGAGCATTTCACGACTATAGGAAATGTAAGAGTGTTGGCATTGAATATTCGTCTAAAGACTTCAAAATCCATAGCCTATACACAAGGCCTAGAATTTTCAATAAATAGGCTAATTTTCTCATTTTCTTACTGTGCATTTTCATTCTATCACTTATCCATTCCTACCAAATCACCAGCCAGCTCAGAAGGACAGAATTGAGAAAGCAGGGATTCATAGCTAGATTAAAAAAAAAAAAAAGAATCCAGAACTGTATTCCTCCTAACACCCTGTCTTTCTGTTCTATCTTCTGAAAGTTAATAAGATTAATTCTCTCCAAGAGACTCTGCCTTCCTGGACGACAGGAAATTAATACCCTTTCCTTTGTATTTATCTGTCTTCCAATAGTCCTTACAAGTTATTTACAAGTTAGAACTTTGTTTCAGAGGATGGCATGTAGAGTCATATAGGGAATCATATAGAAATATAGAGAATACCTAAGTAAAACTGGATAATTTTTCTGATTTTGATAGATAAAGCAGAACACCAATTCTTGGACATATTAGTAGAAGTCTTAGAGTTAAATGTTAAGTAAAAGTCTTAAAATTGCCATATTATCTATCGATTTACTTTCCTTAAAATATTCAAAAATGGCTTTGAGTAACAAATAATAAGATATCCATCCTGAAGTTTAAGAATGATAAAGTTAGCTAAAAGCCATATAGGGATGAAAATATGTTCGTGATTAAAAAGACAATAAAAAATTAGCATATATTTTAGTTTAAAAATAACATTATCTCATTAAGTTCCAAAAGTTTGACTCAACATCTTCAAACTGAGAAGAAAGCATAATATTTGTCATTTATTAAGGTTGTATTTATTTTTAAGGATATACTTTAGTGAAAAAATATCTTCATTTCAAAGTTATTTAGATATTTTCCTCCCAATAAAGTTTCTCAAATATATCTTAGGTTAATACCAAAATACTAGAATAAGTCAACTATCTCTATTTTTATATAAAAGAGTGATATTCTCCTTATATTATTTCTTTAAAAAAATAATGTGAATATAAGATATCTTCAAATTCTAGGAGGTTGTTTTTCTCAAAAAAAACAAACCCCTTTTTCCCCTTCAGAATTTTGGTACCATGAGGGTAATTAATGTTTTCATTCTCTATGAAGATCCTCAATTTGTATTGCTGAATATTCTTTTAAGGAAAAAATAATCACATTTTTACCTTTATTTTGCTACATTAAAAATACACTTTGAATCCCCTATTGAAGCAATTAATGGAAAAATTATAATCATAATAGAAAAAGCTTTTCCACACATCAGGATAGAGAGTGTTATGGTTATAAAATTTCCATTTAGGCTGACACTTAATAAAAGCAGGTTGTAATGACCTAGGAAATATACAGATTGCCAGAGTGCTTAGCTATTTCCCAAACTGTAGCTATTATTTGGTCTATAGAAAACAGATTTAATGAAAATGTATCAGACATTTATAATTTGTTTAAATAGAATAGTATAAAAATAGTGTATTATAAAGCTACCTGGTCTTATAAGGTAACCAGTACTTACATTTGGCTATTGAGCACTTGTGAGACTGGTCACAACCAGTCTGAATTAGTATGTATGGTGTCAAATACACAACAACTTTCAAAGACTTGGCAAAAGAAAATGAAAAATATCTGCCATAATTTTTCTATTATCTGTTCAAATAATAGTTTTTACTATAATCAACTAAATGACAAAAATGAGTAACAGTGATTTTTACTTTTGTTGTTTGTGTTTTTAACATAGCTATCAGAAAATTTTATATATGTGTCTTGCCTTAGATTTTCACTGACAGAAGTGGTACAAATAGCTAAACTTCTACAAGAATGCACCCTTCTTTACAGTTTATGTATAAATCCAGTTTCTAGGTATATTCAAGGACTTGAAAATAATAACTGTGATTATTGGTTGGTCTTGACCCTTAAAGAGTGAATAACTCAAAGGACATTTTAGTGTGATGTAGGTCGTCTATATGATATCAGAAACCAATATGATGAAGAATAATCATGTATGGGTAGTTAAGATCAAAGGATAACTATTAGGTTAACATCTTCTTTTCAGTCTCTAATTTATCCTATATATGACATCCATTAATCTTGGAGATATCTCTACATTGTAGGTATGCTAACTATAGTTGTAATGTCTTTTGAAATACTTGTATACAAGTACAAATTTGCCATATAAAATTAATTTAGAAAATTATAATAGAATTATTTGCAATTGTAATTCTGACAGCATGCCTTTAATGTCAACCAATTAAACCCAAGTTTGTATGCTGAAGACTTAATAATTTGTACAATATCACTTAAAAACACACAATCTGATGTTTAAGTGGAAATTCATACCGTCATAAATCCATCCAGCAAACCTGAATCGGGTTTCGGAGGTGCCTGCAACCGTTCCATTGACCACTTTTCAATGATGGAGGAGACTTGTGTATTTTCTGTATTTAATATTCTGAACCCTGTCATGTTAACACCACTGTATCGGTAGGGCTCTACATCAAGAGCAAAGAGGTCCTGAAAGACAAATTTCCTTGTGTTATTATCAACAGAGTATATTCACAAACATGTATAATTAAAGTAGTCGATTATTCTTACCTCCCTTAGAACAGTTAACACTATTTTAATTGTTTCACAAATTATATTAACTATCACCAATCACCAAGATTTAAATAGGTTATTTTCATGCTTTGCCAATGCAAATATATATATTCTGGATAAATATTTATGCATAAATCATCTTCTAATTCCACCAGTGAAACAACAGGCTTTTCTAAAACCTACACTTAAGATTTGCATAACTTGTCTTTTCCATTTAAGGATAGCTTGCCCTTAAATTTTATGCCTGAACATTTTATTTTTAACTGACTAGATTTTTTTTTTCTATGCTCTGCTTCCTTGACTGGTTATACAACTTTTGGTTTTGTCTTGTTTTTGTTTGTTTGTTTGTTTGACTGATTTTTAAGAAACAGTTTATGAAACATGGCTTCTAACAAAAATTATGTTAAAGCTGAGAGAAAAAAGTGAACAAAACTGGCGTTTTTGGTTGTGGGACCCTTGCAGTTCCTTTGTTTTATGCTCTATCCAATGAGTTCACCATAAGGAACACTTTGGATTTTGGCTGCCAGTTCCAGAAGGTAGTGAATGTTCTGGCTTTGCCTTTGGTTTTCCCGGGAGAGAGGGGACAAAGCATCCAGAAGAGCTGGATGTCACCATGAGAACCTGCAGCATGTGCCACCTTTGCTCTCTTTACAGCTGGCATTAATCCTTAGATCTTACAGACAATATTGGGAACCAGGGTAAGAATAATGCCATTGGTCCTACATGCACCCTGCCTTGAATTCATACAGCCAAATAGGACACAAAATAGGATTAAAATTTAGTGGAGAGCAGTTGATATTGATCTGAACTGTGCTCTGTGCTATGAAAAATATAAGGTATTTTTTTAGGTTTTTATTTTTCAACATTTGCAATCTAGCCAAGGACACACACACACACACACACACACACACACACACACACACACGGACAAAAGAGTAGAAGTGATAAGTGTAATGAGTCAGAAGCAAGATGGATAACTTTCAATTTTTAGAGTCAAAAATAACTCCATATCAGAGGGGACCTAAACTGCCATTAAAGAATGGCAAGGCTTTTGGTAGGCAAAAGGAAAAAGGATGTCATTCAAAGTGTCAGTAAAGGCACCAAAATTAGAAAACATAAAACCTATTCAGGAGACTGATCTAGATCAGTTTTTCTATAAAAGAGAATTCATGAAGGAAAATATCAACAAAAGAAAAAAGGAAAGTTAGGTTAAAATTAAATTTAAAAACAGCCTTCAATTATAGGCTAATGACTTCTATAATCCTAAATTCATTTTCCTTTTTTTTAATTTAGTTTTCCTTATTAAGGGATATTTTGATTTCTCTAAAATCTTATGATTATGGTGGAACTTAGTTATAACTGCATTGAAATAAAATTTGCTGATGAGTAAAGGCTTCTAGTCCCTCTCCTGCAGCCTATCATTAAGTTTCTTAGAGGCTGCAAGAAGTAGCCTGGTGGGAAGTAATATAGAGATACAGCAGAGTTAACCATAGTATTTGCCAGTAAAATACAAACCACTGTGTGAAGATTCTCTATTGGAGGAGAGTTGTTACTACAGTAAGCTATTGTAATTAACTACATTTTAGTGATTTGATCTGATAGCTTCAAGACTCCTAAAACCATGGAGACCAATTGGAAGACTTTTGAGTTAACAGAAAACATTGGTTAAACTGGTCATTGTGGGAATGAAGACACAAACTAGAGACAGTATAGAGGAAACAACAGTGGAACTTTGTTGGTGATGTAGGAGTCAGACAATGGAAGCTTTGAAAGCAGTCAGAAGAGGGGTCAATTCAGAGGACAATACATTAAGGTTTAAATTATTTGAGATTATCTTAATGTGACAACAGTTAGACTTGTTCTGTAATGTAGCAATATACAACAATTCAGGACTCTTACAAATGGACATTTAGATTTCATTTCAACAAAGGTAATAATTGAAGCTCTTACATGCATACTAGTTCTGAAGAAAATAACTAAAGAGGAAAAAGGGAAATAGGATAAGTCTCAAACTTGGAGATACTGTCAAATTTTGGCGATAGGTAATAAAGGGGAATAGAATATGCCACCCTTAAATATGCCACTTTGGCATGTGGATTACTTTATCTGAAGGCAACCAAGACCCAGCAGATTCAGGAAAACTTTTATGTCTATTTTAACCACCAAAAAGAATTTACATAGGGGGTCTGTACCAGAAAAAAAGCTATTAATAGAGATACCTTTTTTTCTTTTTAATCTGAAAGATCTATCTGTACAGCAGGGCAAACTTCTAATTACCAAATACCTGCTCTTTCTATTGGTCTGTGAATTACCCTCCTCCCCTTTGAAGCCTCAGGCTCTTATCTCATTTTTTAGGTTCAATTATCTGACCTGACATTGAGTCTCATATCTTTGGGGCTCCTGATGTATGAAATTAAATTTGTTTTATTTTCTCCCGTTAATCTGTTTTTATGTCAGTTTAATTATTAGAACAGCCAAAGAACCTAGAAGGGAAGGAGGACAAATTTTCCACCCCTACAGCAGGAAAGAATTAGTGTTAGACCGTCATTTAACAGAGGAAAGAAAATTGGGATAACATATTAATAAAGATAGAGGACCAAGAGTAAGTAGATTTGGCAAAAAGGTGAGGTCAGGTTTTCATGCATAGTAAGGAAAAACTGTGTGGTAGCTCTTTAAAGACAAAATGTGAAGGTGACATTCAATTGCTGTTGCAAATTAAATCATATTGACTAAAAAATCCAACTAAAAGTAGGCATAAACAGGATAGAAAATTTAATCTACTAAAAGAGTATTTCAATAAATCTGTTTTTTGTAAAGTAAACAGAACTGAGATAACAACATAAAAATTTATGCTTTTCTTTTTTTCTTTTTTTTTTTAAAGGGTGTTTGTTTTTTTTTTTTTTAACTTCTAGGAGAGAGAGAGACAGTGTGAGCAGGGGAGGGTCAGAGAGAGAGGGAGTCACAGACTGAAACAGGCTCCAGGCTCTGAGCTGGCAGTCAGCACAGAGCCCGATGCGGGGCTCGAACCCACGAACCGCGAGATCATGACCTAAGCGAAAGTCGGACGCTTAACCGACTAAGCCACCCAGGCGCCCCAAATTTATGCTTTTCTAAAACACTGATTTCTTAGCAAACTAATTTTGAAATCTATAATATTCTGAAAGTCCTCTAAAGAAATATATAAGTAAGATATAACATTTTGAACTGATATCTGAAATAAAATTATTTCAAAATCATCAGCTTCCCATCAAGAATTATTAGTTCCCTGTGATGATTAATTCCTCCTGGGTTTAATCAAAATAAAATAAACTACAAAAGTGCCAGTCATTACTTCTCACTCAAAAATCCATTTTCCATTCCAAAAAGTTATAGCAATAAAATTTAGAGCATTATCTTCATGCTTTAATAAATTACTTACCAGAGTGGTAAAGATATAATGATAGTATTCTGTCATCATTCCCATAGCTAATGCCTAAAAAGTAAAAAATAAAAGTATTAATATTTAAGGTATAACTTATATGAAATATTTCAATAAGAGAACAAAATAGGGTATAATGGAGAATTAGGCAATGAAAACTTAGGCTATAATATTCAGGTTACATTAAAACTGGGTCAAAAGAAATATTTTCTCCATAGTTAAGGAAGATTAGTGGTTACTGAAGGAATTTCTGAACCAATTCTCTCCATAGAGTAGTTATTAGTTGAAAGTTTGCAACTGTAAAGCTTATGGCTTTACATATTAAAAGAGGCACTAAATTTGAAACAAACCTGAAATTAGCACATCTTAGTTCATTATATTTGTAATGTCTCCACTACAAATATCCTAAGAAGGAACACCATTTTATTTTGATGAACACTATTACTCGATTAGGAAAAAAAATGTTGGCAAAGTGCAACGCCAATAGGATTTTTAAAGTACTTTGGAGACTTTCTTTAGTAATGAAACAACTGTAAATCACCACTGTTCTTCAAAAAGTACAGATGAAAAAAATGTTTTTACTTTTACTAACAGACCAGTTACAAATTACTGTTTTATTTCATACTTCTACAGTCCTTGTCAATTATAGACCATTAATCTTATGGACTTTTGGGGGCACCTAGGTGGCTCAGTCGGTTAAGCATCCGACTGTGGCTCAAGTCATGATCTTGCAGTTCGTGGGTTCGAGCCCCGCATTAGGTTCTGTGCTGGCCCCTCAGAGCCTGGAGCCTGTTTCAGATTCTGTGTCTCCCTCTCTCTCTGCCCCCTCCCCTGCTCATTCTCGATCTCAAAAATAAATAAACTATAAAAAAAAATACACCTTTTGGATTAGAACTTCCAGTCATAGAACTGTCAATTCCTCCTTTGAAAAGGAGAACACTTTTTGAAATAGCTGTATATCAATGAACAGTAGTTGGTGATGATAATTGAAAAATGATGCATTTTTGAACTGAATGAAGAGCTCTTAGAAACAAGTATCCTCGGGTGCATCTAATACTCTTCCATAAAATACTAACTGCATAAATTCATTTGCTAAGCTACACCCTGCGTATTCTATGTTCATTGATAGGTGTTAACCAGTTAGCTAAAATAAAATTTGTATATATAGAAGTGAACTACTCACTTAAGAAAGAGTAGATTTGGGGAACATTTTGGGAACATATAAAATACACTTTTCTAAAAGGAAGAAATATTTGTTAATGAAAGGCAGCATCAAAAATTTGAGCAAAGGAAAGGACTTTAGATATTATGATATTGTGATTGATAATAAAAATACATATTTGGTCTTCATCTGTGAACTCCCCCCTGCCCAACCACACAAACACAATGGAATTCGGTGCACAACACTTAGGAACCAAATTATCAAATAATATTTCCTGAATGAATAAAGATTGTGTGAGCCAATAATGCTCTGATGAAGTATGAATCTTAATCAAAGTAAGAAAAAATTTCTCTTATTAAAAGTTTATAAGATGATCTTTGTAGAAGGTATTCATTATACTCGATGGATATGTATCGAAGGTTTCTCAACTCCAGAACTACATAATGACCTTTCAACACTATCCTTGTCTATAGTTTTTACTTATCAACTCAACAGGTACAGAAATATAGATAAAGATAATCGAAAGAAACAGCACTTCAGATGTACAACTATAAATAGCATATAATGCCCAAAATGTGTTAGGTACTATTCTAAGGACATTGCACATTTTGATCAACTTAAGTCTTGCAGAGGCTAAAAACAAGCAGATTCAAGATGGGTCACTTTGGCATGAAGATTATTCTGAGCTGAACACGAATGATATGCTGCAGGCTCAGGAGAAACTTTTGCCCCTCCCTTAATGACATAGAAAGGCCTACATCAGGGCTCTTTCCTAGAATAAGGGTTATTAGCAGAGATCAATTTTATGAGTGATCCATCAGTATGGCAGGCCAAACATCTAATTATCAAACATCTGCTCTTCTTATTGCCCTGTGAATTACATTCCTTTCCTGTAAAGTCCTTCCTCTCCTTAGTTCATCATATGCATATATACATATATATCTCATTTTGCCCAATTTATTATGGAATTTCCACATCTGTGTGGATTCCCTTTATGTACACTATTAAATTTGCTTTTCTTCTGTTAATCTCTTTCATGTCAATTTGATTCTTAGTCCAGCTAGACAGACCCTTGAAGGGGAAGAAATTCTTGCTTCCTGATAGCCTCATTAAAAACTTTATGAGATAGATCCTATTATTATACTTATTTTACAAATGAGGAAACTAGGACATACTAACAATGAATAAATTGGCCAAAAAATTGAGATAGTGAGTAAACATGAACTCTAGGTCTCTAATTCTTGGAGTTTGGATACAGGGCATAATATGTCATTTTATAAAATGGTATATTTTATATTCCCAAAGATGTAGATCCACTGTAGGATCTATGTAATTTCAACTTTTTGCCTGTTTTTACCTAGATAGTTTGAAAACCCAGGCATCATCATCTCAAGCCAGTACTGAAAATTGTATTTTGGAGGTAGGGATGAAAGGGATTAGGGAGATAGAGATGGGGATAATGTAGGACTGTTTATGCCTTTCATTGACCTTCCTTCAGCCTTCGATTCTGAAAATAAGAATCAATTATGGACTATGAAGTGTGATCTAAGTAGAAAAGTTTAGTTATTTTTGATTACCTACACTGTAACATTAACGAAAGAAAGAAAGAAAGAAAGAGAGAAAGAAAGAAAGAAAGAAAGAAAGAAAGAAAGAAAGAAAGAAAGAAAGAAAGAAAGAAAGAAAGAAAGAAAGAAAGAAATGGGTATCTCTTTTGAAAGATAAGTTAATAATTTTCAGTTGAATTAAAAAAAAGAACTTTATAGAGATTGCTTTGAGACAACAGGCTTGAACAATGGAAACTTGATCAAGGCAATGAGGCTCAAAGTGTGGCTCAAAGTGACCACCTGGCTGAATACAGACAGGCTCATCAGGCAACCCACCTCAAAATATCCATAGGCCCTAACTAACCAACAGGCTACTTACAAGTAGACACAGGTTCCAAAAAAAAAAAAAAAAAAGGGAAAATTCCAGGTCGCCATGCCTCTTCACCCTCCCTCTTTAAAAACAGCCCCCACCTATTTCCTCTTGCCAGACAGCCTCTCCTTTGCTGTCCAGCCTCCCATCCCTTGTGGTATATTCATTAAACTTCTATCTCCTTTGTTCTGCTTAAAGTGAATTATTTTCACTGCCCACATGACTGACTTCCACTCACGGCTCCACATTTGGAGCCCCCATTCGATGGGGAGAGATACCACATTTAGACACTACACACTTGTTCTGGATTTTTTTAAATTATAACATTTATGTCTTGCCATGGTTTTTAAATTATTTTTTTAATGTTTATTTATCTTTGATAGAGAGAGAGAGAGAGAGAAAGAAAGAGAGAATAAGCTGGGGAGGGGCAGAGAGAGGCAGGGGTTGGGGATGGGGATGGAAGGTCTGAAGTGGGCTCTGCACTGACAGCAGAGAGTGAGATGTAGGGCTTGAACTCATGAACTGTGAGATCATGACCTGAACCGAAGTCAGATGCTCAATTAACCGAGCCACCCAGGTGCCCTTGCCACTGTTTTTGAATGAACTGTATGGACACCTCAAGCCACATTAATATAGTAAAATTAATACCTCTTTATGTATAAATAATACAAGAGTGGCCATAATAGAAAAATTGGTTGTACTATGTTATCCCTCCTGGAAAGAAATTCCATGCATTTTCCAAAATCAAAACATTATAGAAATTCCCAAGATTTAACTAGAGTAGTGTTAACAAGGCCATTTGACATAATAACACATTTAGGCATATAATATGCAATCAGTTTATCCTTCAGGTTGTATCCAGAAGTTACATTGCTCAAAGTTAACAACTGAAGAGGTGGGCTTTAGACATATTTCTTAAAATTTAATTTAATTTTACTTCTTCTTACTGTGGGAGTTTATTTGAACCTGCTTTTACATTTTTTCCAGCCTAAAAACTTTCACACTCTTTAATCTAGACTTTCAAGGTCTTGATTAATACTTTTTCTCTATGATAGAATGAACTCGTGAGGCTTAATTGCAGATCATCTTGGCCCTGCCATAGGGGCTTCTCTTTGACAAATTTGGGTGGAGGTGGAATCTTTTGTTATTAAAGCATGTATGCCAATTAGTGCACTCAAATAGCCAGCTCCGAGCTTCAGTCATTTTTAATGTGTTCAACCAAAGAAAACTTCAAATTCACTTTTACTCAATATTTAGGAAAAGCTCACTTGTTAAAATAAAACAATGAAACAAATAAGACTAACTTGATATACTTATCTATATTTCTGGATACTCCTAATAGTGGTTCTTAGATTAAGCCAGACAAGGACAGCCCATTTATGCCTACTCTCTAACTCTTACATGAGTTTTTTTGACTTCTGTCTTTAACCAATGTTGAGAAATCTCAAAAAGATTTCATAAATCATAAAATAGAATCTTATTAAATGTGTTGCTCCATTTATAAGAAAGCTATTTCCTTTCTTCTTGAATTGGTTTCTACAATAACTGATATCTAAATGTGGAACAAATGCTCTCTGGGACAAAGTAAGGTAAAAACCAAACATCATACATGTGGTCTGTTAGTGTTACAGATTCTGAACACATGCATTCTGTTGTAATAGTGTTACTCTGACTTCATCTTAACTCTCATATAATCATTTTACCTGTGCTCTGATTCTTCATTGACTGATCTTGCTAAAATTCAGTAAGTTTTTCTACTGTATATATTTTAAACATTATCTTAATTTTGTTTTTATTTTACTAATAGAGCAGGTTACATATAAGAAACCAATTATAATGGATATTTCAAATAGAAGGCAGAATGACAATTCTATTATTAAAGTTGATAGCAAAATAAGCCAGTTACTCTAGAGAAAAGAGAACTGATCATTTACATCATTGATGGAAGCCTAGAGAAAGCTTTGTCACTGATAGATCTTAAAACACTACTCACTGGGCATAAAGGAAAGGTCACCTTTCCAAGCCTGTATATTCCAAGTGTGATCAAGAAATTTTTTTTAATATTTTTATTTATTTTTAGGAGAGAGAGAGAGAGACCGCGTGAGCAGGGGAGGGTCAGAGAGAGAGGGAGACACAGACTCTGAAATAAGCTCCAGGCTCTGAGCTGGCAGTCAGCACAGAGCCCGACGCGGGGCTCGAACCCACAAACCGCGAGATCATGACCTAAGCGAAAGTCGGACGCTTAACCTACTAAGCCACCCAGGTGCCCCAAGAATTATTTTTGATATTATATGAAAACAAATTCCTACTTGGTATTTCACTGCTTACTTTATTCACTACCAAAACCAAAACAAAATAAAAAACAACAACAAGCAAAGACACACCCAAATCTCATATACTTTACTACCTAAATATAACACTAGAGGAATTTTCCAAATCCAATTAAATATTTTATTGCAGTGAAACCAACATTCATATTGGAAGATTGGACAACCATCTGCTTAATAAACTAACCATGTTATAATAGGCATTTACTGTTGATCGTTATATTTTATGGGATATAATTTGACATCTTAATCTGCATAACTCTCCAATAGTGATATTTTATCTCATACATGAGAGGTTTCAGGACAGTTTACTAATCCCAAGCCACTGTGATATCAGCCAGTGTGTATAAAAGAGCATAAAAACCAAGGTCCAAAGGCTTGAGTCCAAATCTAGACTTTACTAAATAGTAAGTATATAGGCTCATACTAGCCATTTAATCCCCAACATCAGTCTCTTTTCTCATCTGTAACATATGGGAGAATAATAATTGCTGTTTTCCTAACTATTAGTTAGGTTGGAATAGTGCAAAAGTAACACTAAAAGGTTGTACTGCTTGAATTATTTCATCTGATTTAATATTATCATTTGAATTAGCAATGCTTTATTCTGGAATGAATACTTAACATCACTAGGTGAGATATTCTTATTCGTTCCTTGCTGCTGGGCATTGGGCAAGTTATTCAATCTTTCTAAAACTCAGTTTCTTCATCTGTGAGATGGAGATGGATAGTCTCAACTTCATGTGGATATGGTGCTGATTAAAGGATGTGCAAGTTATCTCCTAGAAGATGCCAGCTAAACAGCAAATATTTTTCTCTTTTTTTCAACTAGTTGATTTTAGTGATTGAGCAGCTCAATCACTGACTCTCAGTTTATTCCTTCACTTCAGTACAAAACAGAAATATCTATCGCAATAACTAATATTCACATTAACAAACAGCATTGAAGCCATTTGAAAGTAACCTCAGAACTTCAAACAATGTGTTTTGAAGATCAATATTTACATTACTCTTTCTTAAAGAAAATTAATTAAATGCAAATGTCAGATTTTTCTATCAGAAAATTACATCTGTTGACTTCTATGGCTCATTTTAACTGTGTGACAATAACAATTTGATTTTTAAAAAAAGACCTTGCTTTAAATGCAAATTTAATAAAGAAACAAATAAGTTAAGTAAGTTAAAGATTACCTGTTTCAAAATGCCTGCTGCCATTTCGTGGCTACAGTCAAAGATTACATGGAACTCCTTGCCTCTTTTCATTTCCTTTAGTAAGGGTTTTGCATCCTTTGTATCGGCAGGTAGTTGACGGATTTTAAGCCGAAGATTGTACCGTGATGGAGCTTTGATGAGCTCCTGCAAACGAATGAGACCTTTAATGAAAAAGGGAGGAAAAAGAATATTAGAGAAAATACAGAGTAGGTCATAGAATCACAGAACATTCTCACTACAAAGCCTGACTTTCTTGACCCTATATATGTGCATTTCATGACGAGACCATTGAAATTCCTACTTCCTAACTCTAGATCCTGTTATTTTTGTTAAAATTATCATTTATCAAATTCTTTAAAGTATTTTTCAAATTATGAAAGCTATACATAAGTTAATGCAAATAATTTAAATAAATACAAGGATATAGAGCAAAATAGTCTCCCTTTGTACTCCAGTTCTGCTCCCACAAGGTTGTCATAGTTAATAGCTTATAAATATTATTCTTCCATACATTTTCTATGCATTTCCACAGATAAACATAGAGTTTTCTTTTGTTTTGTATTATTTTGCATTTTACATTAATAGTAGTTTGTGACTATGTCTTAAAGGTTGTTGTAAATCAATGACTATTGTTCTAGTTTGTCCACTTAACACTGTATTTTATTTTATTTATTTTAATTTTTTAATTTTTTTATGTTTATTTATTATTGAGACAGAGAGAAACAAAGCATGAATTGGGGAGGGGCAGAGAGAGAGGGAAACACAGAATCTGAAGCAGGCTCCAGGCTCTGAGCTATCAGCACAGAGCCTGACGGGGTGGGGGGCTCGAGCCCACAAACCATGAGATCATGACCTGAGTTGAAGTCAGGCGCTCAACCACCTGAGGCACCCAGGTGCCCCAACACTGTATTTTATAGTGGACATAATTTCTGTTATTATCTCCAGTGTTAGAAACTATGGTTACTTTTGTTTTTGTTTACAAGTAATAGTCTAGTAATTTGGTATATATGTAAGAGTAAAAAAAACTTTCTTTAATAAAATACACCCTAAGCAGTAGCCTGAACCATAATTAAATTATTTAAAGAAATAAAACATTTTTGTATTGTTTGTTAGATATAATGTTAACTCCAGGAATAAATACAACCATACACATTATTAGTAAAGCAAATATTTTCCTAGAGAAGTAGCTCCTGATTGTATATTTCAAAAATATATCAAACTAATAGACACATGTTCAATAGGTCATAGGACTGTTAGGCATTTTTAAATAACAGAGATATACCATCAAATTTATTTTTTCATACGAACTTCAAGTCATGAAACCCCTTCAAGAACTCATATAAAAGACCCAACAGATTAAAAAGTGTGATTAACAAAAAAAGTTCTATCTTGGAACAAATGAAACAATTTCCTTGTTTCCTCCTCCTACTCTTCTTTCTTATTTAACTTTTTTTTTTCCCATTTCATCTCTATATTTTTCTCTATTTCTATCTTCCCTGAAGACCTACCTTCATAAATATTAGTATGACAAACAATAATAAAAGAATATATTTGTAAATAACTGATCTTGAACTATCTTTCCGTGAGTATGTGTTTGTGTGGAAACTGGAAATAATAGGAATAAAAATATATATTATTGTGAGTAAAAAAAAATCTGTGTATTAAAATAACATATGACCCAGAGAGTAGGGTCTAATTCTAGGAATTTTTTCATTCAATTTTTAAATGAATAGGTCTTATACATGTAATGCTATATACATTTTAATATGTTGCAACATAGTTAATAAAATTAACATGACTAGTTTTCATTTCATCTGCAAACGAGACATACAATGTAAAAAACATGTAAATTTACAAGTATATCTAGTATCTTTTGTATTTAAAATACTGTCCCATAAAATTTACTTTATCATTTATTTTAGAATTTTGTCATTTAAAATTCTACAAATAATTTTTGCATAAATTACACAGTATACTGAAGTTATCTTATTTCATTTTATAAATTTAAATGTTTATTAACTATATTAAAATAAATATTACATAATTAATTGATATTAAATGCACCCACTAAACATAATGTAATTCAGTCCAGAGAATTAATGTGCATATAATGAGTAAAGATGTTAGCTTGAGTTAAACAAAGGTGAAAACAAATATTTGAATTTATAACAAGAGTGCTTACAGTAATTACTCCAAGAGAGTGACATCCAAGTTACTACCTGACTAAAAAGAGCAAGAGTGGAAGGAATAGATAAAAGAAAAAGAACAAGAACAATATTTATACTGGCAGGGGAGTGAGAGAGCATGAGCAAAGAATCTTAAGAAGCAAGGAAGAAGAAGTGAAAGTGTAATTTAAGGGGGCATGAGGCTGCTTAAGAAGTCCATGTAAATTACTTTAGAGTTGAGGTCTTAAGGGTGGTGGAAAGTGCCCACTTGGAATCTGTATTTAAAAAAAAAATAACTCAGATTTTCTTTATGGAGGACAGACAGAAGAGCTAAAACTGGAGGAATAAAGAGTTAGAAGGCAGTTGTAATAATGCAGGCTAGAAAGCACAAAAATGTGTGTATAGGGCAAGATGGTAGGGGGAGAAAGAAGCGGATGCACCAGAAAGAGATTTTTTAAAAAGTACTGATGGCACCTGGTGAGAGAGAACACTGAGTCAGGAAAATTTCCCAGATTTCTGGCTCGGGCAGCTAGTGGGGGAGAGTGCTTCCACTGAGCAGGAGATCATGGGAGGATCAGGTCAACTGAGGGTTCAAAATAAGGGGAGTGACCAGCCATGTCAAGGGTTGCTAGTAAACAAAGAAATAATAGTAAACACTTTAAGAAAGTTGTTTATTAAATTTAACTAGATCATTGATGCCCCAGGCAAGGACAGTTCTACTAGGGAGGTGGGGATAGATTGTTGTGCCATTAGTAGGAGCAGGAGGGAGGGAGGAGCAGATGCCCCTCAAAATCATCTCCATATATTTCCATAGTGTAGCTTAGTGCCCGTACTAATCACATCTAATATCCTTGTAGGAAAGTATCAGTCCCTTCCTAACCCATCATCAGACTTGAGTTCAGTAACAGATCTGCGGGATGCTTTAGCTTTCACATCTATTAAATGAGTTTTATCTTGATTAACAGTTTTCAAAGTAAAGTTCACACATGCCTGGACTCTTTTGGGGGGGAGGTCCCTGAGGTCCAACTATTTTAATAATAATACATAATAATACTAAAGATTTTTTGCTTTCATTCTCTCCCACACTGGCAATGGAGTGTTCCAGTAGAGGTTATGAGACACAGATGATGTTACAGCAGATTGAATGAGGAAGCAGATATGAAAATCCTAGCCTTCTTCCTTTAAGTCAACTATTAAAGAAACTTATGAAAATATTACAAATGTTTTTTAGAGATCGTTAATATTAAGAATGTAAGATGATATAAAAACCAAAAAGTCTAAGAATTACTGATTGTATTGTCTCTAAATGTTTCCTAGCTTGGATTTTCTATTATTCTCATAAACTATATGATCTATCTAATAACAACTTTTGCTGAATAAAGAAAAAAAGCTATCCTTCGTTTACTTATCTTACAAGATTTAATGCAAGAAATCAAATATAAATTTGGGGGATTTAGTCTATCATAGTAGAAATAGCCTGGGTGTTGGTTGGAATCTTAGTTCAAAAGCATATGATCTGTATGACTTTGTGCAAGACATTCTATCTCTCTCTGCTTTGCTTTCCTCTTCTACATAATAGGATAAAATCATATAAGTATTAACATGCAAAGCACCAGAAAAGGAACTGTCACCTATTAGCCTCTTAAAGAGTGGCAGTTGTCAATATTGTTATTTTGGCAAAGATTAGGAAGATTATAGTAATTTTTCTTTTAAAAAGTGTTGGTTATTAAATCTGTTCTTGGAAGTTATTTTGGCACTAATTTTGACTTAAAACCTAACAGCATCAAAATCTTAATAAAAATTTTAAGAGATTAACTCATTACCCAAGAAAAAGGAGTTACATAGTTACAGAATTCATCCAACAGTTTTGAATTGAAAAATCTCAAGTGGCTAAAAACAGAAATTTTCTGAAGGATAAAATCCACAAATTGTATTTGCAGAATTTATCCTAAGTATAAATACTGGCAAATATTTTCAAGTCTCTTAAGGACTCATGTGGATGGTCCATTGAGCCATCAGGTACAATAAATGTTTACTTATTCTCTTCACACATGTATATCCCTGCTGTCATTAATGTAACAGATTTCAGTTTGCCAGCTTCCCTGAGGATTAGTACCGAAGAGCTAAAATAAAAAAATATATATAAATAAAAGCAACTGCTAAAAGTAAGAACTACCATCTCCTACTTGAGAATTAGAGTGAAGTTTTGCTTATTCATTCATTCAGTGTATATTTCCTGCACGTCAACTATGTGTAAAACATTGTTTCATGGGTAAATATAATGATTGCAATAATTGTATTTATTCTGTCTTGAACTTCATGAGATAACCTTTGACTTTGGCTTTTTTTTTTTAACATAAAAGTTATTTTTATAAAGCTTTTCACGTTAAGATTTTGGAATAAAAGTAGTTCAGCATTCCAATCAGAGGACAGAAATCTAGAGAGTTGTTTGAATACTGAGAGTAGAAACATGATTTTTAAATTTGGCTTTTCACCATTTCCAGTACCACATGCTCAGACTTCTTTCTTGGCTTCTAAGCCTTCATTGCTCTATCCTATGATATTGTTTTTCCATTCTAGATCCTTTGCCTTCTCCATTTTCTGGCAATTACATATAAATCTCTGATTGTTGTTATTTAGAACAACTGGGAAGACTGAGAGAGGACTGACAAAAAGGAAGAAGTATTCAAAATATCCAAAGAATGGATGTTTTCCCACTTTATTTAATGAGTCATTTAATGGCATCCCTGCAATTTAATGTATGTGGATGAGGTTTTTATCAATGGGAAATGAGTTTAAACAGCAGGAATGCCTAATTACAATACTGGGTATGTCTTTTCCTCTGTGGATCTCTATTGATCTTCCTACTTCCCCCAATATTCCTCTGCAAATTATCATGTTCTAAAAAATTCCAATCTCAGAAAAGATTACCCTAATCACATTCATCATATATTAAATACGTATGCTTTGTAAAATAAAATAGGGAAAAAAATAGG